CTTAAACATAGACACGAAGATCTACGAACACCAGACTGTTCACGTCAAAGCCGAACACATTTTCGACTACATGCGAGAAATGGAGCGCTACCTTGATCTTTTCCCGGTCCCGTTCAAGATCATCGGCAACTGGATCGTGGACCAGGGCGGCAGCGGAGAGTTTGCCATGATGTCGCAATGGGGTACATGCAATAACGCGCTTGGGAATAGTAGACAGTACCGGTGAAGGGTATCTCTGACCTCTAATGCGATTTTTATCATTACCCCCCCCCGCCCGTTTTGTACCTACACTTTCGACTTACACCTTCTGACCTTCAAGGCGAACTCAGGTCATTCGTGATTTTATTCATAAGCAGTGTTACTATTTAGCATTTCTCGTTTGTTAGCCCTGCGCACATCTAATGTGCATTTGAATGTTGTTGTTTTCGTGCTCGCTTATGATTATTTCCATCGTCAACGTTTTGTGTTGAAAGTGAACTAAAACGAGGATTCATGCACTTAAACTATAATTCGTTAGCAAAATTTTCTGATTCTTGCAGAAAGCCAGACGCAGCGAAAGGAGGCTCTGATGAAGTATATGACAGATCCTGGCTTCGAATTCTACCTTAGTCGCATCGGTCCGATGTGTCACACATTCCACAAAAATACCCTGCGAGCCTGTCCGGGCTTCGAAATGAGCATTCCTAGCAAGCCAAGTAATGTCCCGCCTGTACCTCACTCAATCAACAATATTACATGCACGCAAGTGAATTTCGGCAAATGCGTAGGAAGTTAGCGAGCAATACCTACCCAGTAAAAAAACAATAAACACAATGTTGCCCCTGAAGAAAAATTAGAATAATGTGTGTATATGTGTGCGTACGCGAGTGCATGTGTGTAACGGGGTGCTGGCTCGTGTGCGTGTGTGCGTGTGTGTGTGCGTGCGCGTGCGCGTGCATGTGTGTAACGGGGTGCTGGCTCGTGTGCGTGTGTGCGTGCGTGCGTACGTGCGCGTGCATGTGTGTAACTGGGTGCTGGCTCGTGTGCGTGTGTGCGTGCGTGCGCGCGTGTGTGCGCGTGCATGTGTGTAACGGGGTGCTGGCTCGTGTGCGTGTGTGCGTGCGTGCGCGTGCGCGCGTGCGCGTGCGCGTGTCGCGTGCGTGGGCCGTGCATGTGTGTAACGGGCGGCGCGGGTCGTGGCTGCGTGTGTGCGTGCGTACGTGGGCCGTGCGCAGTGGCGCGTGTGTGGCGTGCGCGTGCGCGTGCATGCATGTGCGTACGTACATGCATGTTTATGCATGCTATAATATAGCTATAGTATACGTACTTACTATATATGCGTCGTAAATGAGACAAAACTACCGTGACCTTTTCGAATAGCAGAATACGTGTGGTGCTTCCAAAAAATATATATAATAAGTACTAGTTATCACGTCAATGTTGTGATATTTAGTTTTAATGTCCACACAGAAAGCTCATACGTGTCGCGCGTATATCTCGTATTTTGTGCGCATGTAGGAATTTTTTGGCAGGCACCGCAAAACAGAGGATTTGTATAATGATCAGTAACGCCAATGGTAGCCTGGAACCCGTTGTCGGAAACAAAATTAACATTACGGAAAAATGTCCATGAAACTTATCATTAAATTTTTCTCGTAGGCCGAACCTCCTCTATACACTGCGTATGATAAAAATCACAACTTAACGATGTTTCTGTCAGCAATCTACGAGACAAAGTTAATGTTAGGATTAACTTTATGACTAATTTTGTTTCTGACAATGGTTTCCTTGTCATATTTGTTTCGTACATAACAGACTTGTATTTATAGTATCAATTACAGTGACACGCACGCTCTCAGGAGCTGGGACGCGAATTACGTGCCACGCACCGATACAGTCCATCTCTACACGTCCCTCTTTTGTTACGATCAGGCGAATACGAAATGGTGATGTACCGCTTTAAGCACGAAGGCCAGTCGACGGAGGTCTTATTCACGGACATGGGCGACATGGCGAGCGACCTAAGATCGCACATGGCCAAGCTAGGTCCGGACACGGGCGGCGTTGTCGGCGCCTGGTTCACGGAGTACGGGACGCCTGGCGACAGTAAGTAGCAATCACGCACGCACGCACGCAGCACGGGTAGACACGCTGTGTTACTCGCCGTACAGGTGTAGTCGGTGTTGTGGCTGGCCTGGGCCTGGGCTGGACTTCTTAAGCCTGGGGCTGGGCATACGCCTGATGTTAAGGGGGTGTTGGGATTAGAGGTCAGGGGTATTATATGGCTATTGTTAGGGTTAGGGTTACGGTTACGGTTACGGTTACGGTAGCTTACGTCACGGTAAGCAACGTGTTGGTGTCTGAACCCTGCTTTTATAACGAAGAGTCTATAAAAATAATTACATGCCCTTTTGGTGATAGTGATAGTGAGCAATGAGGAGGCTATGCCGCTACTGCTGCCCTCTAGCGGAGCCGCTGTAAAACTAGTGAATGACGCGATCGTGCCGCCGCATGATGATTACACACGCGTGTTAGCTAGGATCAATACATCTTCGATAGACCTCGTTATGCAACGATAGGAGCTTATGTATCGGTCGCATCCTGGGAGGATGCAGGAATGGCGGCGATCACTCATATATATATAATTTATATATATATATATATATATCTACGACGTCATCTTCCGAACACGTCTATGAGATGTATTTGTCTTACTTGATGAGAAGCCGCGAACGTTACTTCCGTGAATAGCTGTGGATGCATGGGCAACAAGAGCTAATACATGTATTAGTAGCTGTTAATGTAACCTTAGCTGTTAATGAAACCTTATCTTAATAACTCGACTGTCATTGGTAAAGCACTCTACCTCCTATCCCCAATTAGTGTAAATTCGCGTGCGTAAATTATGTAAGCAACTGTATAATATNCCGGTGAGTGCTATCGATACTCGATTTCTCTCCTGAATGGTTTGTGTAATAATTGATCATGTGTTATGTATGCATGCGACATCCACGGTATTAACGTCAAGTGATTGCTTCGTACAGTAACGCCCGTGTTTTTTTCCCTACTACTGTCTAGTGGCTGTGGTGTACCACTATCCCGACATGCAGTGGCGCGAAAACGTCTTCTGGCCGTCAATGGTCAGTGGTGACTTCAAAAAGACAGGTGCGATTCTATCTGCTCTGTGTATTATAACCATTTACTTTTTTTTCATATCAACCTAAACATTACAAAGTATCCTTAGAAAAAAACATTAATCGAGAAACGTGCTGGGTAGCAAAATAAGAGAAGATTAATGCATGTTTTATGTTTCAATGAATTATTTTCATGTATATGTTTAATGCATTTTATTTATTTTAGTCGAGACATGGGGAAAGAAGCTTGATAAGGTGACCAACAGAAGTCTGATTGTGGTTCCAAATCAGCAGGTATTGTTGAAATAGGTGGTGCCACTATGGAGACGATCGCTCCGCGGATGAATGACAGCAGATGTAGAAACGTTATTTCATGGAATAGATAGAAATAAGATAGTTTGCTAAAATTAATAATAAGCTATAATTACTAAATATTGCTATAAACTATAAAGTAATAAGTAAATAAGTAAATAAGCTATAATTACTAATAATTGCTAAATAATAAGCTAAAATAATAGAAATAATAGAATTTGGTTGATGTGACGCTAGTTCAAAGACTATTTGCTGTTTTTTGATTAGCTCAATAACAAACCTAATACATATACATATATATATATATATATCTTCATTGAATTAAG